TTCTTGTGAGGTCACGTAAGTATTTTCAATTGTTCTGTTTTAACTCCTATCCTGTTTTTTTTTTTATCAAAGAACTGGTTGGGCATAAATAGATGGGAAAAAGGATAAAATGGAAAATTCAAATTTTGTTTCGTTTTGTACGTCAAGTAGTAAGAGGAGTCGCGTGTTACACAATGTTCACTACACAATGACTATTCCATAGGCTTTAAAGTAATTTACCTAACATTTCTAAAATAAATATATACAAATAAAAGGAAATAAATATACAAATAAAGAAACGTGTACAGATTAAAAAAGAAAAAAAAATAGATCCTTTATAAGAACATAAAATTATTTCATAAATGGAACTGGTTGATGTAAAAGCTTATTTGCCTTTTTTCACGTCTAGGGTTTATTTGCGCTCTAGTAATTCAATTAACATTCTGTGAGTGTATTAAAAGAAAACAAGAGCCTGAATATCTGCCAGGCTTGATGTTCTAACAGAACAGAATAGAACCGAACAGAACAGAACAGAACATGTTATATAACATAACATGACACATGTTATATAACATGTTCTGTTCTGTTATATAACATGAACAAAACATGTTCTGTCATGTTCTGTTATATAACATGTTCTGTTCTGTTACATAACGTGTTCTGTTCGGTTGTTATATAACATGTTCAGTTCTGTCATGTTCTGTTATATAACATGTTTTGTTCTGTTATAAAACATGTTCTGTTTTTTCTGTTATATAACATGTTCTGTTCTCTCATGTTCTGTTATATAACATGTTCTGTTCTGTCATGTTCTGTTATATAACATGTTCTGTTCTGTTGTTATATAACATTCTATAACAGAGCATGACACATGTTTACATGTTATATAACATGTTATAACATAACATGACACATGTTATATAACATGTTCTGTTCTGTTCTGTTCTGTTAACATGTTCTGTTCTGTCATGTTCTGTTATAAAACATGTCCTGTTCTGTTATATAACATGTTCTTTCATGTTCTGTTATATAACATCTTCTGTTCTGTTCTGTAACAAACATAACATGACACATGTTATATAACAGAACATGACACATGTTATATAACATAACATGACACACGTTATATAACAGAACACGACACGTTATATAACAGAACATGATGCATGTTATATAACAGAACAGAACATGTTATATAACAGAACAGAACAGAACATGTTAAGTTATGACATGTTCTGTAACATGACACATATAACATGTGTCATGTTGTTATATAACATGTTCTTTTCTGTTCTGTTATATAACATGTGTCATGTTATGTTATATAATATAAAATATGTTATGTTATGTTCTGTTATATAACATGTTCTGTTCTGTTGTTATATAACATTCTATAACAGAGCATGACGCATGTTTACATGTTATAACATAACATGACACATGTTATATAACATGTTCTGTTCTGTTACATAACGTGTTCTGTTCGGTTGTTATATAACATGTTCTGTTCTGTCATGTTTTGTTATATAACATGTTTTGTTCTGTTATAACACATGTCCTGTTCTGTTATATAACATGTTTTGTTCTGTTCTGTCATGTTCTGTTATATAACATGTTTTGTTCTGTTCTGTTATATAATATGTTCTTTCATGTTCTGTTATATAACAAACATAACATGACACATGTTATATAACATAACATGACACACGTTATATAACAGAACATGACACATGTTATATGACAGAACATGACACATGTTATATATCATAACATGACACACGTTATATAACAGAACATGACACATGTTATATAACAAAACATGACAATGTTATATAACAGAACATGATGCATGTTATATAACAGAACAGAACATGTTATGTTATGACATGTTCTGTTATATAACATGTGTTATATAACATGTTATGTGTCATGTTATGTTATATAACATATTCTTTTCTGTTCTGTTATATAACGTGTCATGTTATGTTATATAATATAAAATATGTTATGTTATATAACATAAAATATGTTATGTTATGTTATATAACAAAATATGTTATCTTATGTTATGTTATGACATCTAAATTGTATTTTATTTCAATGCAATTGTGAAAATTCCGTTTTATTTGCTTTGGGTGAGAAATATAAAACTGCACTTATTTATTAAGCAGATCATAAACTTTTTAGTTGAAGAAACCCTCTTTATTTGAACCATGTGATGGATTCTATTTTTTCGTAGCTGTGGAAACGTAGAAAGAAGATTATCAGGTATCAAGAATAAGTCATAAAGGGTGTCAAGGGCATTTACCCAGCCCTCTTGCAAAGTATTCCAGTGTTTCAACATTGAAGATTTTCAGAGTCGTATCATCGAATGAACTTCATGCGAAAATAGCCAGGCCACTAAGCGAGTCTAGATTTTCGCATGACGTAAAAAAAAACTGTCTCCCTAATCACCTACTTGCCTTTTGAAGGCAACCTCATGTGAGGGACTTAATGTTTCAATTCAGATTGTTGAAAGGTTTTCCACAGCAAAGAAAATTTGCTAAAAACGCACAGTATATAAGAGCTGGGACAGCAGTGGAGTAAGGGGGCAGCGGCACAAGGGAAAGAGGGCGTTCCCTATCACATACTAAAGCTTGTTCAGTCACCCCCGTTAACTTTGTGAGCCTGAATTACTCTCAACAGCAATTTGTTCTAAGTTAACGGAAAAGTCATTCTCAGGCTATTCAAAGACATTCACAAGTCGATTTCTTGGAGTGCAAAGTAGAGACAACTTACAGGTAATATTATTATTAGGCCAAGATGGTTCGTTTCTCACTATGCCCGAAAATCACACTTAGAAAGGAAAAGACAAGGAAAAATAGCGAGAGTAAGGAAAATAATATAAGCTTAAAATGATGTATTGACACTTCACATTTGCACTGTTCAGCTGTTCTTGAATCATAGTTTATCAATTAATGAATTTCAGATATCTCCTCTTAAGAAGTAAAATATTTAAATTGAGACATTTTCAACAGCAGCGACAGTTTGGATAGGGAATCCCCCTAGTGCCTAGAGCAGGCTAAGAAGACCTCTGAGACTTCCTGCTTAATATGCTATAATTAAAAAAAAAAAAAAAAATACTGTAAATGCGAAATGATTTTCCACAAATAATTGCGAATTCCGCATTCCGGATTCCAGATCCCACGCGTTCCACAAACCCTACAAAAACATGGCCGATAGTAAATAAGCTCACGTTCACCGCCTTCTCTCTCTTCTTCGTTTGGTTAAAACCACAGGCACATGGAAAACAGTGATTGAAAGTATGCAATCTTTAGGAATGGACCAATCCACCTGACAACACGGATGGAAAGAACACCTGAGATGATCAATTGTGCTGCCACATTCCATTAAAGTGACTTTATGCAAAATATACGCAAGTAACTTACGGTGCCATAAAAAAGACACAAGTAACAGAACAAAATTCACCCACGTTCACGTTAACTTGATTTTCCAGCCTTTGCTTACATCAGAAAAACCTCGAATAGAGCCTAAGAAGGAAAACAAATCAATAAGCACTGGGAAAATTCGTTTTTTATAAAACTACCGTAACCTTATTTTCTTCCTGTAAATTACATCAAAGAAGTAAAACCAGCCAGACCAGGGGACGACCAGACCAAGGACCATCTGACTTTTTCGATGGCTTAGTTTGCCAGCACATTGTCAAAAGACTTCAGCGCGTCATTTAAGATCTTATCGAAGTTCATTTTTTCAATTCCACAAGAATAAGAGGTTACTTCCACTGAACCTTGGACGTTAAACAGCTAGTAATGGAAGAAGTTAAGGGATTTTCTTTTAGTTTCCTGTGGTATGTTAAACAATTAGTTTACCCACCTACTATTTTCCTGGTACGAAGTTTGGAACTATAAAAACCGTCCCTGGCAAATGATGTTTCCTTTTTTTAAGACAACCGCTGATCAGACTCTAGTATGAAGGCTCACATGGGCCTTAATGATATGTGGCGGTGGGGAGAGGATGGTTGCAAAAGTGGTAATTTCGATTTTTCAGTTACAAGGTACTGAAGCGTTTAGTGAAAAGGTTTTATACGTATTCTGTGAACAGCGAAATATTATGGATTTTGCTCTAATATCTAATAATATCTATTTCTACTCTTTTTTTAGTAAAACGTTTTTGTTACAGAAGGGGATACCACAATCTAAGTAAATGTTGAAAAACTGTTTAACAGAGTGAATCTTTCAAGTTATATAAGCAAGGTTTTAATTATTGTTTATCTTAATGTACGTAGAGTTAAATGTGCTTGCAAAAAAAACCACCTTCTTTGTTTTTCTCACTTGCAAATCAGTGCACAATTGACACTAATTTGCGTTGCAAGCTGAAACAAAGTTATAATTTTCTTATACCTCGTGGTACATTTGAAGAGCTTTTTATGTCTGCGGACTGCTTTTTAAAAAACACAGAGGGTGAAAAATGTGGTCCATCAAGCGGCGCGAGCGGTGAAGTTCGGTTGGAGGAATGTAATGATAAAATTGAAAATCATTTGATAAGCTGCTATCTTTCCAAAGAAAGCCTTAAAGAATGGGAGCTTATACTTGCAAGGGCTGGCCTGTTCAATTTGCCCCGTGAAAATGTAAAAAAAAATGTGGATTTGCTACAGGCATCGCCACTTCCTGGGAAAGTTTTTGGAGAAGTAAGCTAACTCTTCATTACCCTGAGCACCGTGGTGAAAACAGACGCGTTCTTGGAAGAGATGTTATAAACTTGCAATTGTCTCAGGACATACATAAACTGTTAGGAATTCAGGAGGAAGATATCCTCGGTTCAGACCATGAGGGCTAACCCTCCCGGGAAAGAAGAAGCGCAGAGATGCGAACAACAGTCAGAAAAACATGGATGTGGACGCGTCTGTTGGCAAGTTACTCGACAGGCCCAATACTACCTCTCATGAGTGAAAAAGTCAAGTGCTTAGTAGCTTGAAACAGGATTTGCAAAAGGAGGAACGGGGCCGAAAGTGGACAGAACTGGCAAGCATTGTCGATACACTGATAACAGATGGGCTGCCTGAGGAAAAACTTCAGGACAAGATTAACAAATACCATCGCCCTGAAAATTGCGAAAGCCTGACGAAAGTAAAAGTCAATGAGGCAGTGTGGGATAACTTGAGCCCATCTGTACGCTCACAAGACGTTCGAATGCAAAAAGTTCAATCGTCTCTATTCAAAGGTATGTGTAACTTGACTGGTACGATCAATAAAATTGTGGAACAAAGACCTACGTTTCCAGTTAGAAACGACTTGCTTCAAGAGGCTACTGATGCCTTTGCTCTGTTTGCTAATGCTAATACTGAGCTTAACCACAGGTGTAGAGAGTTGATAAAGCCTGACCTGCATCATGACTATAAGCATTTATGCTCCTCATCCCTTGCCATCACAGATCAATTGTTTGGGGATGATTTACCAAAGACTTGACAGAAGTCAATCGTGTTGGTAAAAAGGTCACAACAAATAGTGGGTCATCCTGCAGGTTTCCTTTTGATTCTAGAAATTGTAGAAACTACATGTCACACTCTTCAAGTCGTGGACGGGGATACTGTCAGGCCCGAAGGCCTTTTTTAGGCTGGCGCTTCAACGACCGGCAAACAAACCCCTTGAGCAAAAGGAAGACAAAGCAAGGAAAGTCAAAGTCAAAGTAGACAATGAGAGTCTGGATCATGTGTCTAATATTGATGTTAAGGTGAGCAAAACTCTACATGCGTCTAATGACTGTATTGCTGGCCGACTCTGAGTGGCAGAATATCACATCTGATCATTTTATTCCTGATAGTGTGACTAAGTACAAAATTGAATTTGCTGCTGGGTTCCCACAGCAAGAGACTATCCCAAGGGAAATCAGCTTTTCCCTTCAGCAGCAACATATTATTCAAAACGAAATTGACAACTTGCTGAATAAAGGAGTGATCAAAGCGACCACTCACTGTGAAGGGGAATTCATTTCTACTATATTCATCCGCCCTAAGAAAGATGGCACTTATAGGCTCATATTAAATTTAAAAAATCTTAATGATCACGTGGAATATCATCATTTCAAGATGGATACTCTACAATCTGCTATCTGGCTTATGAAACAGAATTGTTACATGGCTTCCGTAGATTTACAGGATGCTTATAACTCGGTTCATATTAATGAGGACTATCAAAAGTTCTCAGATTTAGCTAGAGAGGACAATTGTTTCAGTTCACTTGTTTACCTAATGGTCTTTCTCGGCCCCACGCCTCTTTACGAAAATTTTTAAAACCTGTTTATGCTACCCTTAGAAAGGAAGGGCATCTAAATGTGGGATATATTGATGACTCATATCTACAAGGAGATACAATACATGAATGTCAGACTAACATTACTGATACTTGTTGCTTATTTCAAGAGCTGGGTTTTATTATACACCCGGTGAAATCAGTGCTAAGACCAGTCCAGCCACTTGTTTTTTCTGGGTTTTGTTTTGAATTCTGTCAGTATGACTGTGTGCCTGCCTACAGAAAAGGTTTTTCGAATCAAAGAGCGGTGCAGTAGGCTTGCTTGCAGTGCCACAATGTCTATCCAGGAACTTGCAGAAGTTATTGGACTACTAGTGTCTAGTTTTCCAGGTGTGCTTTATGGCCCACTTTTCTATAGACACTTAGAACATGATAAAACCATGGGACTTAGACAAAATAAAGGAAACTATCAGGCACGTATAAAATTATCGCAAGAATGCCTTGCAGAACTACAGTGGTGGTGCAATAATATTGAGACAGCTGAATATTCTATTTGTACACCAGACTCAAAGATTGATTTACTCTGTGTACTGATGCCTCAAACAAGGGTTGGGGTACAGTCATGGGTGAGGGAAAAAAAGGAGGCAGATGGACTGAAACTGAATCAAACAATCACATTAACTGTCTCGAACTCATGGCTGTATTCCTTGGTTTGAAAGCCCTCTGTATTAATATGACATCTGTACACATACGCATTTCTTCGGACAATACCACTACTGTTAACTATATTAACTCTATGGGAGGCACACATTCTATGGAGTGCAACTCTGTCGCCAAGGAGATTTGGCTATTCTGTATTCAGAGAGAGATCTGGATTTCTGCAGCTCATATCCCGGGGAAGAACAATATTCAGGCAGACAGAAAGTCTACGGTTTTTACTGACAATGAGGAATGGATGCTCAGGAAAGACATTTTTCAAAACGTCACAGAAATTTGGGGGGAACCCACTATAGATTTCTTTGCCTCAAGGCTAAATGCGCAGGTCGCTTGTTATGCGTCCTGGAGACCTGATCCTGGAGCAACTTAAGTAGATGCTTTTACTATCAACTGGGAAAAACAATTTTCTATGCTTTCCACCCATTTAGTTTGATTGCTAGTTGCCTGCAGAAGATAGCAATGGAGAAGGCAGAGGGCATAATGATTGTTGCTTTATGGCAACCTCGGCCATGGTACTAACAGCTGTTACACCTGATCGTGGATGTTTCAAGGACACTTCCATAACAACTGACCAAGCTCAAAATGCCCGGGAGAGAACACGAACCACACCCCCTAATCAAGAAGATGGTTCTGATGGCATGCAGATTATCAGGGAATCCCTTACAGCACAAGGGATTTCTCAGAAGGCTAGAGACATCATCGTCCAATCTTGGAGGCAAGGAACTCAAACACAATACTCATCTTACATTAAGAGGTGGATTTCGTTCTGTCATAACAACAAATTGATTGTGTTTCCCCCACTATATCCCAAGTGTTAGATTTTTTAGTTGAACTGTAAGAAAGTGGAATAAGATATAGTGGTATAAACACTGCTCGGTCGTGTTTGTCATGTGTTGTCAAACCCATAAATGGGGTATCATTAGGCTCCCACCCTACGGTTACAAGGTTCCTCAAAGGTGTTTTCGAATCAACACCCACAGCACCACGATACACAAACAAACTTGGGACGTTGGCAAAGTACTCAGCTACCTTCAGACCATACCAAACTCAGAGGATGTATCGTTAAAGGACTTGATATTAAAAACTGTCATGCTAGTATCGTTAGTGTCTGCCCAAAGAGGCCAAACCATTCATTATCTTAATCTTAATGATATGATTAGTTCCGAAACTTCGATTACGTTTGCATTAAGCAAACTGCTCAAACAATCAAAACCAGGAGGTAGGCCAATGGTAGTTCAGTTTACTTCATATCCTGCCGACCCTGGTATTTGCGTGGTCACTACTCTCAAGATGTACTTAGCTCGTACAAGGTGTAAACGTGGGGATTATAAGCAGTTGTTTATTAGTTACTTGAAACCTTTCAAGCCAGTGTCTCGAAGGACTATTAGAAGGTGGATTAAAGCTGTTATGTCCAGCTCTGGGATAAATGTAGAAGTCTTCAGGCCACACAGTACTAGGGCTGCAGCCACATCCAAAGCAAGTGCAAGTTTTGTTCCTTTAGATTAGATTTTATCTACAGCTGGGTGGAGCTCAGCCTCCACATTTGCTAAGTTTTACAACAAACAAATTGATGTCAAGAACAGTTTTGCTGAAAGTGTTTTTGCAGTCTTTAGACTAAGTGATAATAAATTGTTGTTACCGTCTATGGATTCTGTGCTGACTATTTTTGCATGGGTGCAGTGTGCTTTGAAGTTTCATGTGAGCCCTCAGTGCGGTGACGGAATAGAATTCAAAAATTAAACGAGACTTACCTGGAAGTTGAAGTTTGATTGGAATTCTATTCGTCACCAAGCACTGAGGGATTACATACCCTCCCAACTTATACCCGCCCATTTCCTTGACAGGGAGTTTCTCCACTGCACACATGGTAAGTGTTATAAAAACTGAGTTCGCACAGGCGCAATGCTATCTCATGTAATCCCTCAGTGCTTGGTGACGAACAGAATTCCAATCAAACTTCAACTTCCAGGTAAGTCTCCTTTAATTTTTGAATTTTAGTTATTACCTCTAAGATTGCTCCGCATGCATCCTTGCAGTGCACCAGAGCCACTGGAACAGAATATTTTGTTTAAGCCAGGGTAGTCAAGGACATAATTAAGCAGATGGTGCTTTCTGGTAAGCATCATATAATTCAGCCCCTGTCAGATCCAGTAATTCATCAACAAGCAACTCAAGGTAAGGATTGACATTATTCGGTTCCTTCTGCCCATTAGCAGGAATAATGTCCACCTTTTGAACAAAGTTGACATGTGTTAACTATGGGCATGTTTATTTGCTTTAACCTCTTGCCTAGATGTAAGTCATTGCTATCAGACAATATTGTAATATATATAGAGAGATATACCAGTATACACAATCAAAATAATAGTTTTTTTTCATTGTATATTTTACTTAGAAGGTAGTGCAAAATAAACCACTTTCACTGAACTATTGGTTGAAAATTATAGATCAGTTTCTTGATTATGCTAAAACAATAACATGTGGAAGGCTCCCTTTCAGTTTGTATCAAACTTTTGACAGTAGACGTCGCCCCTCACCAGCTATCAACTATTTTAATATTGCTGAGCTTTGCACAAAACTATTGAGGTGGCTGGCACCAGTTTCCTGAATTTTTCAAGACCACTTCTTTGACAGATCAACACTACCACTCTTTTTCAGTTGACGCTACATGTATGGTATCAAACAGATGTCCAATCATTGGTGAACAAGTTATGATCATTTTCATTACATTACACATTACCATAGCAACACTATAACCTGTTAAATCACCCTTAATTTTTGCTTTAAGTGATTATAACTTAAAAACAATTACGGTGAGCCCCTTTTTTCAATAAAGCAGGGCTTGAAATAACCATCGGGCAGGCGCCATTCGCTTTGTCTGGTCAAACATATTTTTGCTCGAACATGACCCGCTTTTGGCCAGTCAAATTTGAACAACCTTAAGCTCTTACAATCGTGACCCCAGATCGCATAAAGTTGAAACATCAGACTACTTACATACACTAATAAGCTTCTTTGACAAACAGAACACAATACGAGTCAGGTTGGCAATGAAAATTACAAGATCTTAGTTTTGCTCCTCTTTATTGTAGAGGCAGCCCGACGTTCAGTACGTGAACGCAAGATACAACCACAACGTCCAACGGTTAAATCAGGCAAAATCACTTTCATAACATTTTGGCAATGGTCCCTCATATTGCATTTAGTACATCAACCGTAGAAGTGATTTTGCTTGCGCAATTGCCCGCACATGCGCTGAACTATTAAACCATCCCTTTAAATAGTGTTCTTGTGTAGATGAGTACTTTCACATAACGTGATCGATTGAAGCCAATCAAAATGGGACAAAAGTGTAGTGATGAGCTACACTGTATATTTAACTAGAAATACGTTTTCGCAAAAATCTCGCTAAGCTAACGGGGTCAGCAGTGAGAATAAACAGTAAAAAGCCAAAGGGTAAGAAAACGATGAAAGAAAAAAAAAATGGAAGTAGACACGCTGGGGTTGGAACCCAGTTACACTCCAACTTCCTCCAGCAAAAGAGTACAGCCTCTGACCACTGGGCCATGCGACCACTGCACCGATAACTCATCAAAATTAATAGTGTTAAAGTATTTTTCTCTGCCATTCACACTGTTTGAACCGTATGGAGCTGTATTTATCATGAATTCAAAGATACATTTGAGGGAAAATAGCTCAAACGAGTATTTCAAAACCATTTCGCTTTATTTCTGTGTTCATTCACTCTCGGGCTTTAAATAGGCCGCTCGATTAACAGAGTGGTCTTCTTCCTCGCTGCTCTCGCTGAAGTTCAGGTCACTGTTCTTTCGGTTTTAAACCTTCGACGGCAAGGACTTCCACTTGTCCAATTGGGCACTGTTGTGTTTGCAGCCCGCTGTTATTTACCTCAGAAATACTTTGTGATTCGCCAGCGTACAATAAACAGAGGATGAATAAAAAGTCGCTGGCCGTATTGCCTGGAAACCCAAAACGCGCGATGACGTGCATTTGGCGTCTTTATTATTTGTTTATGGCTTGTTGCTAGGCAACTGCAGATACCAAACCAATAGAAAGATTTATGACCAAAGCGAAATTGCAGCTCGCTTGGGATCCTCGCGTAATCCGCACGTGCGACAGAATTATACACTCGCTCCGCAAGAACATTTATTCCTCGAGCCCGAATGGGATCTGAGTCAATAGCCCATGAGGCCAAAAGTCTCATGGGCTATTGACTCAGAGGCCATGAAGGCTCGAGGAATAATTGTTTTAGTAAAATTTAACTAGCTGGTCAAAAGTATCCAGACAAAACAACTGTAGCTGGTTAAAGCTAGACTTTCATCCTTTTTTTGCCGCCAAAAAGCCGGTGCTTTCGCCACTAGTGGACTTACATATAGCCTAGTAGTAGCTCAACCAATCAGAACGCAGCATTGATAATAGACCACTCGTTGGATTTTACTAATTTTCCACACAAGCAACTGGTCCAAATTTACAAATCACCTGATGCAGCCAAAACTGGGGAGTATCATAATTATGATATCCCCCAGGTGATATTCCCCAGTTTCAAACTTTCAGATTTAGTTTTACCTTGGTATGTTTCCTTTTTGAGTAAATTAGAAACTACTGGAATATATCTAAAGGTCAACTGCCATGACTGTAAACTGTTCTAAACATGCAAAAAAAAAAAAAATACTCACCAGCTTCAAATTGGGGAATAAATGGCGTATGGTACTTGGCAAGTTTAGCATTGAAAGAACAATTGGCCACATTAAATATT